GTATGAGAGTTCCCTCTCTTTAAGTGGGAGGGACAGGTGTCCTTCACCTAGGAGGAGGAGGTAGTTACATAACTACCCCACTCCCTATTTAAGCTCCTTAAAGGGAAGCTAGAGACACAGGGAGACTCTTCGGAGAAAATTTTCACAAGAGATTCTTAAGAAAAGCGAAGGTAAGGAGAGAAGAAAAGAGAAGTGCTCAAGGGAAGGCAAGGAAGGAAAAGTCTCACTAATACAGGTAGAAAAAGGAAAGTCCTCTCTGTGAATACTTCCTACTTATGTCTTTTGCTATGTATCCTTCTTTCTCTCTCTCTTTTATTTTTACTTTTGAGAAAGGAAATAGAGGGAAATAAACTATCTACAACCAGGTTCCTTTACTTGATTGATTATGGTCCCTCTTTCAAGACAAAGTTAGGGATGAAACCATCTACAGTTTAATTCTCGAAGGCTGATTATGGTTCCCTTTAAAGGAAAATGAATAGTAGAGGGAAATAAATCATCTACAACCAGTTGTCTCTACTTGGTTGATTATGGTCCCTCTTTCAAGACAAAGTTAGGGATTAAACCGTCTACAGTCTAATTCTCGAAGGCTGGTTATGGTTCCATTCAAATGAAAATGAAGAGCAGAGGGATGAAAACCATCTACAATCAAATATTCAGTTTGATTGACTACACTTCCCTTTTTGTATGCAAAAATCCAAGGATTAAGGCTGTCTACAATTAGAATTTCATTTGATTGACTACAACTTATTGGGAAGAAAGGAGTGAGGAGGAAATTTTCTTTGTATTAAAAAGAAAAGAGAAATGTATTGCTGTATAGTTTCTCAATTGTATTTTCTTATTCTTTCTTCTCATTATTGTACACTTGATGGAAAAGAAAAACAAATGAAAAGTTCTTTTTAAGTACCCTATGGTTCTTTTCTTTTGTTCTATGCATTCATTTCTCCAAGTCAGAATCAAAATGTGTTCTCTACTTTCTTGTGGAGATGTAGTTAAGGGGAACAATCCGTATGATTCCCTGAATGGGCCTTACCCAAAATAATAAAAACTCAATCACTTGATTGAGTGAATTATGTTGCATGAGAATTTATTAAAATTTTCACACCAACAGGTGTATTGTTATTTTCTTGGTTAATGTGGCACAGTGCAACTCCTCATATTGTTATTTGACTATCTCAAATATCAGTTATCTTTGTCCATGTTAATCATATTCACCACTGATACACGAGTTCTTTTTGTTAACTTATAGAAGTAGGGCTGCCTTATCAGGAAAAATATTCATTTCTTTTGGAGTGAAATACTGAATCACTGATCACCTTTTCTTTATATTCATGTCCTTCTAGATCTCATGATTCTGAAGTCTGGTTGATTAATATATTGGAAGAATTTGGTCTATATCATTTGCAGGTATACTCCACTTAATACAGGTGAATTGCTGGAAGAATTTTCAAAACAAGATGTTGATTCATGTGAGTATGATTTGATGTCTGATTCTGCTCAGTGGTCTTGATAATGCAGTTATTTTTCCTTATGAACCTCTTAGACACCCATATATTGCACACATGACTAAAAGCTGCAAGAGAAAATATACTAGCAAGAAAAGTAACTCTAAATCATCATAAACACATTTTGGAGAAAGTTTTTACTTTGAATTTCTCAAGTTTATTTGGTTGTATTGAATTCATATTTAGTTTCTTCATGTTCTTGCATACAAGTCCTGCAGAATTCTTGAATTTTACAAACCTAATCACAAGCTTTAATTTTGAATCCTTGATTGGCCGACCAACCCATTTATGCTGTCTAGATTGTGTTTATTTTTTTTCTTTTGGTTTATAACTCCCTTATAAATTCTCAAATCCATTCAAAATTTGTAGAATATTCACACTCTCTGATAAGACATTTTATTTTCATTATTTCTTGCCTTTTTCCTTTTCTTGAAATCCTAGTCTGTTCTAATAGTGAAACCCTGAAATTCTTCAATTCCATTCATTGGCCCTATAATACATTAACCTGTTTGTTGAATAACAAATTTAGTATTAGAGCAAACCTGATTCTTTTCTACGCCTCCACCGTGAGGGTTCAATAGGTCTAGTAATGTTGATGTTTCCGAAGCATTGGCGCAAGTAGAACACTTGACTAGTTAAATTTATTAATTCAGAAGCAGATTTAGAGTGAGTTCATACAACATCCCAGGGAGAGGCGCGAGCTGCAGCCCCTCCTTGAATCTTACAAGTAAACTAGGAAAGAAAAGCAAGAATCACAACTGAGCCCAA